CTTCAAAAGTTTGTGCTCAGTAAAGTTTTTTTTTTTTTTTGAGAGAGAGAGACTGAAAAGTGACAGTAAAGATATTTCCAAAAAATAAATAAATAAATGCTGTTTTTTTTTTTTTTTACTTTCTATTCATCTTGACAATCCACAAATTTTTATTTATTTATCACAGTTTCCAGAAAAATACTATTTTTCCAAACAATCTAATTTATTGGGGAAAAAAAAAAAAAAAAAAACTTTTTTTCAATGTTCATAATATTAAGAAATATATCTTGAGAACCAAATCGTCATATTCAAATGATTTCTGAAGGATCATGTGACACTAAAGACTAATGGCTGCTAAAATTCAGCTTTGTATCACAGGAATAAAATATTCAAATAGAAAACAGGTATTTTAAATATTAATATTTCACAATATTACTGTTTTTACTTTTAAAAAATCGTATCGACCACAAACTTTTGAACGGTAGTGTATTTTCGTATTATAATGTTATTATTTTCCGATTATGCCAATTGTTAATAGTTTATGAACTCCGTTTCCCAGCGTACATCTGAGGGTGGAGGAGAAGATCTCTCTGACCTGTGGTCGGGATGGTGGACTGCAGAACATGGAAGTTCTGGGCATGATCACTCTGAAAGTCGCAGATGAAAAAAATGGCTGCATTTCCATACTCATCAACAACAATGACAAGAAAGGAGCCCAACTACAGGTGTGTGTGTGTGAGACAGTTCAGCATGTCAAGCTCTCAGCGTGTATTTTGAAGAGGAAGTTGTCGACGGTCTGATATTTTTAGAAAAGAACACTGAACTGGCCGTATAACCCAATATTGTTTCGTTTATTCTTCAGACTCACCCTCATGTTGATAAAAAGCTGTTCAACACCGAGTCCCTGATCTGTCTGAAAAACCAGGAAAAGTCCTTCCCTCTCAACAATGATTTGGGGGTGCTGAAATGGAGGTTACAGAGCACTGATGAGTCCCTCATTCCTTTAACAAGTGAGTCTTCAGTTGCTTCTGCATGAAGTGTTCATGAATAAAGTTATTGAACTAAAGGTTTTAGTATAACAGCACTTTCATAAACATTTCAATCATGCACGTACCTTCTGTACTCTCAGTTAACTGTTGGCCGTCAGAAAGTGGAAGTGGCTGTGACGTCAACATTGAGTATGAGCTTCAGGACGAGGGGCTCGAACTCAATGAAGTTGTCATTACTATCCCTCTGCCGTAAGTGCTTATTCAGATCATTATATACATGTATGTATGTATGTATTAGTTTATATTTCTATTGTGTTTTTTTGCATTTATTTAAACTGTATGTATAAAACATTTTAATTAGCAAAATACACAAACATTATCAAAATCCATATCCATAAACAACCTCTGTCTCCTGGGATCATGCAGGTCAGGTGTAGGTGCTCCTGTGGTTGGTGATATGGACGGGCAGTATAACCATGACAGCAGGAAAAACATCCTGGAATGGTCACTTCCTGTCATTGATGAGAAAAACAAGAGTGGCAGCCTGGAGTTCAGTATGGATGGCAAACCCAATGACTTCTTCCCAATCCATGTTTCTTTTGTCTCCAAGCGAAACTTTTGTGACATTCAGGCAAGTTATGCAGCATTTCATAAATAAACGACAACAAAACTGAGCCCTTGTGAGAAAGGAAATGACTTTATATTCATTGTTTCCACAGGTGGCCAAGGTGACATATGTAGAGGAAGGCAGTCCAGTCAAATTCTCCTCAGAGACGTCATTTGTTGTGGATAAGTACGAGATCCTGTAAAGGTTTCCTGGTGGAAGATCGTTTTAACCTGCCAGCCAGCTTAACGGATCAGAGAGCACGCTGTATGTCAATAGAAGGCTCAAACCATTCTCTGACATGGGCTGCAGTACTTCTGTGTTTCTGTTTGTCTTAAAGGAAAATAATCTACCTTTTATAAACTGGACCTTCAGATGCTCAAGTACTAAGTGCTGTCAGCTACACCTGCCAGAAAAGACAAAAGAAAGTAATAATAAAGCACTGCACCTGTAGACATCAAGGGAAGATCAGTGTCATCCTACAGCAGACGCATTAGAAGCGCGTATGAACCCTCCTGACACTTCAAAGAGATAGATTAAAATTGAAAACTTAAATAATTATTGCATGGATTTTGTATAAACCACATGATCCGCATCGGCTCATTAGCAATTTGGTTTTATTTCTAATCGTCAAAGAATAAATGCTGGTTTTCTAATATGGAAACGGACCTAATATTGTTGTACCAAATGAATGTGTGGGTGATGAATAAATCAGCTGTGCTTGTGCAATAAGAACTGACTAAATTCAGACTCATAATTTTTCATCTCTAAAATGACACCTCTGCTGTTTAGCTTTTAGTAAATATGGATATCATTGTCTACATCAAAAAAGTACAAATGCTATTTGCCTTTGTTTTTCCCCCTTTTGGTTCAGTTTATATTTATGTAATCATTTGTTTGAAGAATAATCTAAACAGGAAGATTTTTCATTCTTTGTTGTTTTGTAAGTAATGTTACACATAATCTGTTTTTAAAAAATATATATTTTTTATTCATTGCTGCATTTATTTGGCTAAACAGGAAAATATATTCTCTCTGGCTTCCCAGATGTTGTTAAGAACTGATTTGTTTTTGCATTTCCATAACGTTAAAAAATACATTTATCAGCGCACACTCAAAGATGATTATGGAACACCAAGGGGAGGGTTACGACATTCCATTCTGCTGTAAAATACTTATGAATACCTTTAATCAATAATAAAGTCAAATTGAATGAAAGTGTATTTTCTGGGCTCTTCCTGCTTTAATATGTGGTTTTGACTAGAATTTTGTATTCACTGTAGCTGCATGATACGTGTATTTGTGGTGCAGGCTAGAGTTAGGGGGTTGTTTGAAATCCCTAACTCTATGTATTAAAGACAGCAGCATAAATCATGCCATCAAATCATAAATCAGTGCCTCAAATCATGTAGCTTGTTAAATAGTGGCATGTTTAAGCACCTGGAAATCCCTAGCAACATGTTAAAAACCTCTCAGGTGGTTGATTGTAGTCATTGTTTTGCTGTAAGAATGGTATTCTCTGTAATGATAAATGCAATGCCCAGGCCTGGTTTGGGCCATGGCCTAGTGGACAGGGAGATTGTTCTGGATTTTTACAGGAATGTGAGGAATCTCAGAGATGAGGCAATGGTATTTGGAGTTAATAATGCATTAAGTATGGTTGAGTGGAGGAGATTCCTGTCAATGAATCACTTCCACAATGATATGGGCACCTTGTCTCAAGACAATTCATGAGATCATTTACATCTGCTATGACATGGCTCTTTGGAATACTTAATTATGATTGGTTATGTATAATGATGCTAAATTATATCTTCATAGCTGTGTTAGTTTTATGTCTCTCAAAGCACTCTGTGGTGTATTTCTTTTCATTTGGTAAAATAATGAGTCCAGCCCGGAGTCGTCACATGTGGTTGCCGCAAGCCTTCCGGATGCTCCTTTGTCGAAATCGCCGGCCGCGCCATTCTCAAGCCCACCCACCTCTGCTCACTCTAGGCCGCCGCCGCTCACTCTAGCCCTCCATGTAACACTTTTTCACACCACTGTATATATATATATATATATATATATATATATATCATGATAATTTCCAAAATTTTTCTATTTTGATTACCTTTGCCATCATTTAACTCCGAGTTAATCTTTCAATCTCAAAATGAGTTTTTAAAGCATTACTGGTGTAATATGTTAATTTATTATTATTGTTAATTTAAACTAATAAAACTCATTAAAAGTCATTGTCAATAATTGAAATCAAATGTAGCTAAAATAAAATACATGTATTGGATGAAAAACTTAAATGAAATTTAGAAATGTTGCCTTGCAACTAACTGAAATGTTACTAAAATTAAAAATACTAAAGTAAAATTTACTAAAAGTACTAAAAATTACTCAAATTAAAACAAATAAAAATAAAGCTTAATAGAAATAAATAATAAAAATAAAAACGACAAAAGTAGAAAAAAATAAAACAACTGAAAGCTAAAAATAAATGAAATCTAATTCAAAATGTTAAGAAAAACTATAATAGTACATAAATAATACTAAAATAACATTGGTTTATAAATGCGTTAAAACTTTAGTTTGAAATTAGTTTGTTTTTAGACAAAATACAGAATTTGAATGTTGCCTATTTATCAGTTATTGGTCAAAACATTACAATGACATATTTTTATATTGGTGAATCCCTAGTGATAATGCCAGGTTAACTGTACTTTATCCCTTTCATAATCATTGTGTCTTTAAATGGTTAAAGCTTGATACAGTTTTTACTTGTTGACTCATAAATTTGTGTTGCTGCATATTTTACTAAATGTCAAAGTCATAGTCACTGAGCAAAGCTGAAGGCTGTGAAGTGTGACCCACATCTACAGAGATGATCTGTATGTGAAACACGGTCTGTCTGGTTGAATCTGCCTCGATGTTTGATGTTGCCTCTAATCCACGAGGAAAGTTTTAGGGCCGGGGCTGAGAAAGCAGATTTAACATCTGATTTGTGGGTTTGATGAAGGGACTGAAGGGTGTAGGCCGCCACAAATAGGGACTGTATCTGTCCTGACCTAATTTCCTATCTGATCGCTGGCAATGGAGGAATAATGAGGTGAAGTCTGGAGGGAGTGATGCGTGGCCAGTGATTGTAAGGGAGAGGAAGTAAAGGTTGCTCATAACACATCATGAGAGCGTCAGATGAACTGTAGTTCTCACACTGTCCCAGCCAAATCGTTTGGTGACCATATGGTTCCCTTGAGAGCAGGAGAGGGGGTGTATCCCTGTTTGGGGTTGAGGTAAAAGAGGAGGGGTGTTAATGACCACTATCCCCGTCATAAAAGAGGGCGGGTCTTTCTTTCGGATGAATGAACAAACCGATAAGTACTGAGCCAGGCTTTGTTAAAGGGTCACATGAAAGAGTGAGAGGGGGCAGAGGAACTAGCATGGGCTAGGAACTTACATGGTCACATGGGATTTTAGGATCAGTCTGAGATTCATTAAAAACATTTTAATTATTTACGAAGGATTACGTTTTTGGAGTTAATGATTTGTGAGTTTGCTGGAGGTCAGTGGCATGTATTGCTCTGTATCTCAGTATGAAATAGGCCATTCGTTCAGGTTGGCTAATGAGGAGTACGACATATGCTGAACGTTCGGGATACCAAGATACAGCAGCAAAGCGTCCACCATCTGGATTCTAATATGATGCTCAAGAAGGTCCGATTTCAGGTTAGTTCCATTTTATTTCTGAAACCGAGCCAGAAACCCTTACGGTGATGTCAATAACTGGACATGTGGGGTTTTGTATGATTTCATGCTTTTGGGTTTGTGTATGATGTGATGTGTGAATCGGAATTCATGGTTTCTGTTTTCTGTATTTGGTTTCTTAGATTTGTCGTCTTTAAATGTGTATCTGGAGTTTCAGACAGAATGGAGTGATTTGCCAGTTCTGATGTATAATAAAAAGTATACAATTATATTTAAATTAATTGTATATTTTCATTTATAGTATAGTTAGTTATAATGTTATACTTAACTTTTTTTGCATTATCAGAACAGGCAAATAAAACAAGTATTGTTTTTCATAATCGCAATTTGTTTTTTTTGTTTGTTTTCTATAATTTACTTTTTATGTTATAATTTTAGCTTTTTATCTCAATAATGACTTAGTGTCATAATTATGTCATAATTATGACAGTATCTAATTTCTACTTTTTATGTCATTGTCATAATTTCAACTTTTTGCCATAAGTATAACTAAAATATCTTAGGAACCTTTATTCATTTAACACTATCTATCTATCTATCTATCTATCTATCTATCTATCTGTCTCTCTCTCTCTCTGTCTGTCTGTCTGTCTGTCTGTCTATTCACAATAGTGAAATCAATGTATGTGTTTTCTGCATGCTGAACGTACAACAAATGCCAGAAGTTGGTTTACAGGTTTTCGGGCCTTACGGTGCTGACAAAATAATCCCATTCTTCCAGAGGCCATCGCAGGGACATTTTCCCGCAGTAAAAGTGAGAGCGAGAGTTAAATTCTTCCGCACCTGTCGTAGGACCTCCAGCTGCCTTGCTTTCCCCCACTATAGTGACAAGCCTTTGAGCTGGACCTTTAACCTGTGAGACACACAGGCGGAAATGAGATGCATTCTGAGTGAACATGAGGCATTTCCTTAGGAAGAAACAGAACAAACAGCAGTCTTACTGGCCTAGGAGTTGAGTGCTTCTGCCACAGGTTTATTTCACACTTACGTGTCATATTAGGAAAAAGGGAAGAGCAAATAGCTGGCCAGCTCAGCTTTATTTTAAAGTTCAGGATAATTATGTTGCTTTCTAGATTACTTGCATTGAGACAACACTATGAATTTGAGATAAGGGTACCTGATACCTGGTCCATCTTGTGATGTTGTGTTTAATGAGGTGTCGATCAGTCACTAGAGGGCACCGTTGCGTCATCATACAGGATTGTATACGCTGACACGGATTGTGAAAATGTGTATTTTGAATTGTTCAGTCATCCAGGGGCATCTGTAGCATATTATTTCATTAGTCCTGACTGCAGTCTCAAGGGAAAATTGCCCGAACTGAGTCACACAGATACTCCATAAGCACGCGAATCTCTTAAAGATACTTTTCTGCGTTACAGTTGATCTCTTGTTCAATTTTCCTGTTGTTCATATCAAACATAAGCAAATAATCAAGTAATTTTTCAAGTATAAATATATTTTTTAGCTTATTATACTTGGTCTACAATTACAACGAGTTTATCTGAAATACATTTTGTACTGTCATATACGGTCTGATACGAACTATATCTCCTCAGCAAACGCATCTTCACAAGTGTCTTTTTATAAGCTTACATTTGTGGTTGTTGTTTTTGATCAGCTAGAAGACGACTAGTGTGTCTCATTGGAGAGAAGCTCTTGATTATACAAGATCATACAAGAGCAGCTTTTTTTACAAACACTATACAAACAGTGACAAAAGCCGGACTGACCTCAGGTCTCCAGTGCTCTGGCACCGTCCCAAGAAACACTCAAAGAGAGAAACAGCATTGTGGATGCCAGTGTCTTTTGTGCACCTTCTGCAGAAAAGTGAGTTTCAGCCTTTCCTGAAATGGACTTATTTTTGCAGCAGGGGTCTCTGCAAGGTTAGTGAACAAGTGAGGAGTTCTTTGACTGAAAGAATGAATGCCTTGTGTCAGACTAGGAGTGGTTGACAGAACAGGAAGGCAAAATGAGTGAGAGGGGGAGAGAGACAGTCACAGAGTGAGATGACTTTTGTCATGCGCTGGGCAGGAGAATCTGATTTTTGTCTGTGATGGTTGGCTTCGAACGTGTGCCAGCAAGAACCTCGCAGCATCTCGCTACCATCCTCAAGACTCTATCCATCTTCATAATGTCTTCTCCATGAGGAACCATGTGTTTGCTTACAGAGGGTCTTGTTTCATAGGCTGCCAGAAAGTTTGTACAGGTAAGGTCTCCTGTATGGCTTGTAGGAAAACTTCGCTTTTTTGAAAACATTTTTTTAACTTCGATTGTTGTCTGTTATTGTCACACAGTCTACTTTTTTTTCAAGATACTAAAAATGTTTGAATCTCATGAAACCTGTCAATAATATATCCCAAGTCCAATTTCATCACAATCAAAGGAAAAATAAATAAATTATAAATAAATAAAAAAAATTAAAAACAAGCTTAAATTTTTAAGTTATACATTATAAAAAGATATATCGTATTATAAAAATGTTATTATGGAGAAAACAAACTAAATGTTTAGGGTTTTATTTGCATTATAGCAATTATGCAAATTCTCATCAAATTGTTATTATTGTTATTCATCCGAATGTTTTAATTTTCAACTTTTTTGCCATTTTCATTATTCTTAGTGGAGATTTTAATGTAATCCTCATTTATGCATTTATAATA